TGACCAGAGGTCCCATCCCAATGCAACAGTGGTCTTTAAAGTCCTTATGTCCTTGAGCTTATGACATAGTTGGCATATTGAAGAGAGAGAGGAAAGCGCTTCTTTCAAGAAATTACCATATAAGGAAATTTTCAAGAAATCAGTGGTGAACGGGTGAGAGTTTTTTTTTTCATAAGTAGTTTTTTTTTTATAATACATGATGTAAAACATATATGAATTAAATAAATAAATGCTAGGTATAATTTAGTTAATCAAGTTATAAAAAAAATTAAATATATTTTTTATTATAATAAGAAATTTTTTATATTATTTTCTATTATTTTAAAAATAATAATAATATTTTTTTTATCTTTAAAAGATATATATTGTTTTTTTTTTATATTTTTTATAATTTTTATTTTTGATTTAATTTCTTTATAATTCATATTATTTAATATATTAAGTATAGAAACATATTATTTTTCATTAATTTTTATAAATTATAAATATAAATTAAAATTATTTCATTATTAATTTATAAATATTTTTTGAAGTTTTTTTTGAGAATAAATATTAAAAAAAAATTATTATAAAATTGTATTTTAATTTTAAAATAATTAATTAATTTTTCAATTATATAAATATTTTGTTCTGTTTTATTTTTAAAAAACTATCTTTATAATATATTAAAGTAACTAATAATAATATTTTTATTATAATATTTAACAAAATAATTGAATAAAATTTTTTTATTATAATTAATAATAAATAATTAAAAATAAAATATATTAATTTAGCAGAATAAAAATATAGTTCAGAATTAAACCAAACCAATTTTTATTGAATTGAAATATAAAAAGATTAAAAAGAAATTTTTAACATAATTTATTACAAATAATAAATTATAATTTAAAATTTTTAAAAAATAATTAAAATATCATATTATTTTTATTTTTATAAAAAATAACAAATCTTAAAAGTGAAATTTTATTTTTTTATAAAATTTTTTTCTATTTTTATTGAATTAATACAAATTTTAAATTTTTTTTTAAAATCGATAACAATACAAGAAATGATTGTTGTTAATTCAAAAGAATTTTTATAAAATTTTTGTTGTTAAGTTTTAAAATAAATATATTGTTTATAAAAATTTAATTTTAGTTTTTAATTAATTAATAATAAATTTATTTTTTTTATTAGTTGAATTAATTTGTTATAATTTAATTTTTAAATTTTTCTTTTCAATATAAATTGAATATATATTTGGTTTTTTGTGCTTTTTTAGAATTTTGAAAATAAAGTTTATAAAATTTGTTTACTTAATTTTAAGTCTAATTATTAAGTTTTTAATTTAAAATAAATTGTATTTTTAAATTTTTCCAAATAATAAATAATAGATAAATTATAAATAATAGTAATATTATTCAATAAATATAAAAGTTTAACAGAAGAATAGATAAATGTTAATAAATATAAATTTTATAAAAAAACTTAATAATAATTTTAAAATTTTTTGATTGATTTTAAATTTAAAAGATAATAAATTATATCTTATATACAATAATTAAATAAATTAAACATTTGATTGTTAATTTTTTTTAAAAGCAATATTAAATTGCTTATTGCTAAAATTAAAACCAAAATTTTTTATTTAATTTTATTATATAAACTAGCAATTAATAATAAAATATTGGATTTATATTTTATAAAAACAAAATTATGCATAGTTTTAATATTATTAGGAATTTGATTTACTTTTAATATATTTTGTAAATATAAAATTTTTTTTTTCAATATAAGAGTAATTGAAAAAATAATTATATAATTGTTCTGATTTATTATTAAATAATTGTAAAACAATATTATAAAATATTAAAATAATAAGACTTTTTTGTAATAAATAATATGAATTAAATAATAAAAAATAGAATTATACAGTATATATTTAATAAAAAAGGGGTTTTTTTAATATTAATAAAAGGGATAATAGAAATTTATTAAAAAAAAATCAAAATTAAAATCAAAATTTTTTCATTTATTTATATAAAAATAATTGATAAATATTTTGATTTATAGAATATTTAAAAATATTCTAAAAACTATAAAATTTTTTTATGTAACTTTATAAAATTTTTTAAAATTATATATTTAAAAAAAGATTATTAATAATTTGTTATTTTTAAAAACAATTATTCATATGGATTATATTTTATCATAATTTATAAGTTTATACAAGTTTATACAATTTTAATTTTCAGAACTATGTTTGTAAAAAATATATTTTACTACCTTTCAAAAATGATTATAATATACATGTAACATAAATTATTTATTGTTAACTTAATTTTTAAAATTTTTAAAAATAATTGTATTATGATTCAATTATTTATATATTAATGGTAATTCAATTAATTATTAAATAATTGCATCAATTACATTAAGAATTTACAAATTTCAATATTATACTGTATATAAATTAGTATATTCAAATAAATATTATAAAACTTGTTTTACTTAACATAATAAAAAATTTTTGTCTATTTCAAGAAATATATTATGTGATATACCAAATAAAGAAATGACATGTATCAATTTTTCGCAAAAAAATATTAACTTTATGATTACATAATTTTGATATAATCATCAAGTGAAATAAAATAAATTTAATTAAAATAACCGAATAAATAAAATAAATAAATTTTTAAAAAATCAAAATTATATAAAAATAACAGTTAAATAAAAAACAACAATTATAAAAATATCCAAATAAAAACAAAACAAAACATATATTATAGACATAAAGAAAATAAAAATAAAAACAATTACATAAATAAAATTATGCAGTTGAAGCATTTCCGTTGTGAACTAGTCTTTTTGCTATTGTTTAAGAAACATCGAAATAGACTTGGAAAAATATCAATAAAAAATGGGCATGTTTTTTAAGCCAAAAAATATTTGTTACTTTATCCATTCTCTTGTGTTTACTCAATTCAAATATCACGATTTTTAAAAGTAATGATTACATGACTTGCATGGTACGAGAACAAATATACTGTATTTACGGTATTTGTAGTATACGACACATAATTTATTTTATTCGTCGGATATTTATTATAATTGATTTTTTGATAAATGGCAAGATTATTTGCAAGGAATTAAATTCATGAATTGTTGCATCGTCAATAAAGGTTTTAATATTTCGATGCCAAAGAATTTTTATTTTCACGGAATGAGAGATGGTAAAGCTCGAACAGACAGCAATCATGACTTCTGTGGTAAATTTGTAAGATCACAGGTAATTTTCGGTTATGAAAATTTGATGCATATAAGCCGATGATAAAATATTGGAATACTGTATGTGCTTTTTTTGTAAAGGATTTAATTTAATTTTAATTTTAATTTGTTGTGTAACAAAAATAGTGAACCAAACTCTTGCCAAATCAAGTTTTTACTACCATATATTTTTTTTAAAAACAATGAAACAAAATAGGTGTTATTGATGTCAAATAAGGCAGGTGAAGTTACTGATGACGATTTTTACATAAGAATGTCAGGCGTTACGTGCATACGTGTCAGAATCAATCACGTGATCACAAGTAAAATATTAGGAAAATTGATTTTGTACTCCACTATTTCTCAGAAATCCATTTTTTAAAATGCTTTTTTATCCTTTCGTTCAATTCGCCAAACTTGGAAGCCATCGCTTTGTCAAAACAAATAATTTGTCATTGGAGGAACAACATAGATACTCGTTGCACACTTATTACATTTAAACAAACATGAAACGATACGTTCCACCAATTTTATAGAAAGTCTCATACTAGTTGCTGTGGCAAAAGGCATCATACAAACAATTCATGCACGAAATACGACATAGCCAAGGAATACACATATGTATGAATGGACTCATAACTTCATCAGATAGACGCGTCATTTTCCCGATGCCATGTCGGTAATTTTGAGGTTTTTCGGTTCAATTGAGAAAAAGTGATGAGATCGGTCCAATGGTAATTCACGTTATCAAAGATAACATCTTTGTTGTACACAAGGTAGCATACTATTTTCGTATAAAGATTCCGATGGGATTTCTATTGAACATACCAAATTAGTCCTAGGCGTACCTGGTGATGGCATGATCCATGTTCCTTGACAACACTCTTTGATGATTTTTTCCAAATCACCGGTTTGGATACAAAAGCACTCGTGACACGACCGGCGTAAAGAATATATAAAATATAGGTACAATAAGTCATCTTGGAGATATACTTATGCAAGATGCAGGGGTTTGTCTCGCTCACTTCGCCATCTAGTTGAGACTAAAGCGTGTACTTTACAATGGAACTCAGATATCAGCCTACGCATTAATACCCATTGATTTTTTGCATCACCAAAAAAACAATCAAACATGTTAGCTTATATTATTATCTTCGACATGTGTAATGGGTCATATGACATGTGCAAGGGCACTTCGTATCAATTGATGTCTGTTTTGATTATTCGCCTTTAAGGCTACCAGATTAAAAGTTATTGACGATTTGAGTACTTTCAATAATTATTAATTTACTCGTCCATATTATAAATCGAAGTTTTTGCAACAGAGTATTGCATGAACGGATATAAAAGAATAAGATCACCAATAAGTTATTGACTCACTGTGAACGTTAAACCTTCATTCATGATTAAATGAAATCATTAATGATAGAAGTTTAAGAGGTACAAAAGTTTACGTTATTGTACAATCGATTTGATTCGTCGCCAAATTGCATCTTACCTAAATTGATAACAACCCTTTCGCCGAAAATACATTTGAATCATATTACCAGGAACCCTATTGAAAAGTTTTACCAAAAGACCTTTTTTCATTTCTTGATAAACATTGCCGCATCTTCACAGAGCCTGCAGCGGTTTAGAATTTAGGAGAGAAAAAGAATAGGATTTTTTACAATCAAATTAAAAATGAAGCTTCAGATATCAAAAAAACTTATAAATGGATACGAATTTCCATCTTTCCGTTCATTCAAATGACTAAGGAAAAGGCAAAGTATTCGAAGGCGTGTCTTCTATGTTCGAGGAGGCACCAAAAATGCGACGACCAAAAACCGTGTAACCGATGCATAAAGCATAATAAAACTTGTACAAAGGTCACTAAAATCGTCGAAGTGACCTTTCCTCCCCCTACACAACCCGTATCACAAAATTCGAATTTGGAGACGCCGCTATCACCACCTTCCTCTGCTCCTTTAGAGCCGTTGTTCGGTATGCACAAATATTTTTTTTTGTGAAATCACAATAAATAACATTAATCCATTTTTTGTTCGCAGTATTTGATGAATAAAGATCGAAATAATGTAATACAATTTCCGTCATGAATTTACATTCGATTATTTTACCCTACGTAACACGCAGTCCCATACTTTTGGGGACGTAGAATAAACTTTAATTAAAATATGTGCAGTGTAAACCCACGTGTTGACTCTCTCTGTGTGCTACGTTCTGAGAAAAAAATTTTCTTTTCTGTAAAACGGTGTTACTGTAGTAGAACCTCTTTATTATGATAAATTATACATACAATCAAAGGGAACGTTACATGGGTAATTATTCT